TGGAAATTACAATTATTATGGATAATCAAAATCCATTCTATTTCCAATAAAGATCCGTATAATTTCCATTCTATGACCTTCTATGGATTTTCAAAAATATTTCCAGTGTTTAGAATATGGGCGTAAGGCTCTAAGCTAGCCTTTAGAGCGTAATCAATCTCATAATAAGCAATATCAATGTCTTCTTTTCAATCAAGATTCAAAATCTTTCCAACGCTCAATGGAATGAGGTCCATGAATTGAAGAGGAAGGCAAACGAAGCTTTGAATAACTCCAAATCAGCCAACAGCAGAATGGACGAGGTCTTGACGCAACAAGCGGCTACTGAACAGGAAATAACAGTCGTTGATAACACAATCAATGATATGAAAACACTCGCTGATGTCGCAGCAGCGAATGCCACGTTAGCTTACAATGTTGCTCGTGATACCTTCAATACCGCCGAGCGGCTACTCGACGAGGCAGCAATCCCTCTAGATGAAGTTAAAGCTAATGAAACAAAAGGTAAAATGTCGGATATGTGCCAATAGACCCTTTATTTAAGGTTACAGAACACCTTTGAGTGTTAATTTTGTCTAAAATTTTTTTATTGGTTTCCATGAAAGCATTAGACTGGTTCTACTATCTGACCAAGTTTGAACGAAAAATGTTGAAAACTCGCAGAGTTATTTAATAAAATACATTGCGCTGCAATAAGAAAAACATTGAAAATGTAATATTCAAATTCAATTTTCTCCCGAAAAATTTTACGGTAATTACTGATTTTCAAACGAGTTGTGCTCCTGCAGGTTTTAACCAATTTTTCTCAAAATTTCACAGGACATAGCTAAAGACGTCAGTTTCAAAATGGTGTTCGGCTTTTTTTTAATTTTGGATATTTTAAAAATAAAGAGCAATTGACTCAAACAATTCAGAAATATATTGCAGTCGTCAAAGAAATCGCCATATCAGTGGAATGACGAAATAAACAAAAATTTCCGAACACAATTTTTTAGAACAACTATTTTACTGTATAAAAATGATATTTTCATAAATATATCTTAAAACCAGCAGGAACATAACTCAAAAGCGTAAAGGTACCGCGATTTAAGATTTTCCTGAATAATTCTTATATTATTTCATTGTTTGTCAATTTTACAACTTTACCATATTTAGCATGCACTGGAGAACATTTGGTGAAAATTTGATGAAAATCGGACTGATATTGAGCGCGCAGTAGCGATTTTCCGCAAAACGCCAAAAAAGGTGTCCTGTAACCTTAAT